GACTTGTTGAAAAGCTTTACCGATTGTCTTATATCCATCGATCATCAAATATGCAATGACGAGGGTTGCACTTCGCGAGATACCCATTTGACAATGAATCAATACACTATGGCCACAGCTATGGTGTCGTCGTACAAATTCGAAAACAATTTGAAAAAATGAATGAATTTGCTCACTTGGTTCATCATTGATATTTATACGCAAATAATCATATGATTCAGGATAGGCGTTTGGCTCGTTAGTAGTGGCATTGACTATGCCATGAATATTATTATTTTCGAGAAAATATTTACTTCGAGCGATTTTTACATCTCCAAGGTATAAATTTTCTGTTATTTTGTGTGTTGATTTAAAGGAAAATGAGGTCATCGATAGTAAGTAATGGTTTTATTGTGGTGTATCGTACTTACAACGGATATTTTAAAATACAAAAGTCTTTCACAAATCTTACGCAATCGTTTTTATGAGTCATTTTCTTTTCACTAGACTTTGCCTTCGAACAATCACCGAATTAATTTTGATTTTCTACACACATTCTCTACAACGCAATGCATTAATACAGATGATGAAATAGAATTAGAGAATGAATAAACTCAAACACGTTGATGACTAATGTCAACAAATTGTTACTTTCCCCGCATGAATCGTGATCGAAATTATTCTTATACCTCCGATACGCTTTCAAACACATACTTGTGCATGCCTTTCTCTCTTTTCTCTTTCCTTCATTTTTCTTCTTATCTTGACGTGAGGATGACGAATGATTGTTCACTGAAGTCTCTTACCAAAAAAACATTAAAAGAAAAATTCTAACAGTCTATAAAACTAAATATCAGCAATAGAAACTCCAAAAATTATCTTAAACAAATATAATAACATTCATCACCCGAAACGTTTTAGATGAGAATCAACAGAAATGCAATATCCTCCACCAATTTATCTTAAATCAACAACACCAAAAACAATTGAAGATAAAGAAATCGTGTAAAAAATCCAACATTTCCGCCGTGTACTATAATATTAAAAAATTGTCAACACAATAAACAACTTATACTTTGTCAATTGATTGAATTCCTAATTTTAAAATAGTACAATAACTATTATTTCGAAATGAATACTGTAAGTCGATTTAGCCAGGGATGAGTGTGAGAAGAAATGAAAATTATCTATACTCACACACCAAAACTACTCTCATCGAGAATATTATCATCTATCTTCAGAGAATGCGCAAAGATGTATCGTTGAACTCTTGTCAAAATATATGATTTTTACGGCATTTTGTAATTGAAAAAAGCGGTCTCCTTATATTCACCTAAGAAAACCAATTATAGAATTTCGACTTGAAACTTTCCAGAAAGAAAGATCTCAACGAGACTGGTTATTCCTGAAAGTTTGAAATATCATGGTTACTCGCATTCTGAAATCTGCACATTGAACATTTTCTGCCATGTACGAAGTGAAATGGAATAGTTTTTCTTATACTCGCAGCTTGGGATAGAGCGAACTCCAAAATATAAAACTTTCAGAATAAACTATTCTTGTTGGAACCTTTCTCTGAAAAATGCTTCAAGTTGCGATTCGAAAATCGATTTATCAGGCGAACCTTAGAGCGATTATGGATTTCTGCTGAAAATGTCATAAATATTAAATATTGCGACAGAAACAAGCTATAAAGATGAACTCTTCACAATATTCATAGCTCATTAAAGCCGATATACTGCACAAGGTCTCGATTCAAAAGCGATTCGACAACTGGACATAACTCCTAACTTCTTTTTTCTGCCCACTGTGTAGATGTGGATGGAAGTATGAATATGATTGAGTCTCATTGAACTAAGTATTTCCAACCACGCCCTACCCAACAAATTAGCTTTTTTTTTTGAATAGGTGCCCTTCATATCCTTTAATTCCATAGATTTAACTAAGTCGAGAAGATTCTTTTGACAAAAATACTACACAATAGTTTTCACATGTTAGTTTAAAATATCAGTAGTTTTTGACAGGTGCTTGAATTTATGGTAAAAGTGGCAAACTAATATTGATACTGGGATCGACTTCATATAGTTCAACTTGTAACTCTCCATTATGTAAAACAAAACTTCCATCGGTCCTAGCTACAACAGAAATCGTATGGATACCTGAGCGAAGGTACACTGTTTCCGATTTTTTGCTAGGAAAGTCAGCAGACGAAGCAGATAAGTATATTCCACCACCACGGCCGTCGAGAAAGTTCGCCATGTCTCGTGCAACTGAAGGATCATAATTAAGACGCTGATCAGTGTTAGGATAGAGTTTATTCGAAATAAGAATTTTACTATCGATCATAATGCGAATCCAATTTCGTTGGCTCTTGTCAGTCGCACACTGACCGTGATAATGGATCTTGTACAGTTGAGGTTTATTGTGTTGAAATGACATGCTGAGACCAGGTATTTGCGCAAATACTTTGGAGGGAACATTCAAGGTAAAAAAGGTGTTAGGTTGATATGCGAAGTAGAATTTAGGAAGCTGAATGGATGGACTGCAGCTACAATTGTTTTGGACACTACGAAGTTGAATTATTTCAGTAGAGATTGCATTGGCATCATGAGCAAAATATAAGCAAAGACCGAACAGTAAATAAATAATCGAAAGCATATTTCGAAGTAAAATATTTTAATAAACAGATTTACTGCCTTATAAACGATAAAAGTTAATTCTTCGGTTCTTTGCTTTCTTCGTCTACAGTACACACAAATAAGTATTATTATTTCTCTTGAAGGTAATCAAGCATCTAATTTATTCAAACCAAACTAAGTAAATATACAGTAATTAATAAATGCACAAACTCATAAAATATCGACGATTGAATTTGTTTTGAAATAACTAGTGTCAAGATTCTCATAACTATTCAACATATAACATGTTAAATCGAGCAAGTTTTCTGAATCTTGATTGAGCTAAGTCGATCCTGGAGTAACTAACTCTTATATGGAGATAGAATTTTCTTAAAGACTGAATCAATATCGATCTTTGCAATCAACAATGTCGCCAATATTTACAATGGATTCATCTTGTCAGACGAAAGATTTAGACAAAAAGTTAAGAATATTTTCTTCGAGTCAGATTATATTCATCAAGCAAACCTCATCAATATTCAATTTGACAATAAAGTACAATTTTTCAGTTCGATGAATCACATACCTCTTATGACCATCATGAGAAATCCTGATTGTATGAAATATGCAGATTTATGAAAAAAAAGAAACATTCGCATGATTAAGTATATTCATTTGTGCTCTCTAGTGGTTCGATAAGTTGTTATTTAACGTTAGAAAGTATGAGCGTCTCATTCATAGGGGATACTTCATGAAAAAACAAGGGATAGCGAAGGCATGCGGGCTAAAAGATTCTGAATTTGACCATACAGAAATCCAGGCCCTTGAAAGCCATAGAATAATCCAATATAATATGTTCTAAAGATCTACTTTCAGTCGACTAGCACGAATCGATGTAAGATATGCTGAAAGGAACCCATAAAAAGGATGACAAACCGATCTATTAATTTCTGTAAATTGGGTGTGGGTGTGGGTGTAGGTGTGGGTGTGGGTGTGGGTGTGGGTGTGGGTGTAGGTGTGGGTGTGGGTGTGGGTGTGGGTGTAGGTGTGGGTGTGGGTGTGGGTGTGGGTGTGGGTGCGAGTGTGAGTGCGTGTGTGGGTGTTGGCTAACAGAAGAACCACATTCACACTCACACTCACACACCCACACCCACACCCACCCACACACACACACACACACACACACGCACACACACACACACACCCACACCCACACCCACATCCACACACACACCCCCACCCCCACACACACCCACACCCACACCCACACCCTAACCAATTTTTTTTATTTTACAATATTTTTTAAAAACTATTATGTAAGTTCTAAACTAATCTAATCCAAGTTTGAACATGCACCATTCTTTGAATGACATTTTATCGTGCAGAACACATTTGCTTATTTTCATGGATACGTTTTGGTTGCATATTTGCTATGAAAGTTAAAAGTATCCGATTTTGGGACTAAGAGAGCAAAGTTGTGATGCTTCAATAAAAGTGATTGGTTTTAAATTATCAACATTTATTGTTTCTAATTCATCGGAACCAGCATTTTTCATATTCGTAAATTTTCCAACTTAAAATGTGTCGTGCTCTACCATATACCATTCAAACAGTGGTGTATGTTCAAACGTGGATTAGGTTAGTTTAGAACTTATAGAATAGGCTTGAAAAAATATTGTAAAATAAAAAAATTGGTTATAATTTAATTATTTATTTATGATTACCTTGGTCTATCCATAAAAAAATGATTTCAATTCCATCTAGATGAAATTATTATTCTACTTTCGACTAAATAAATTCTGAGCTGAGCTGAATTCTAACTTCGACCACGACATATATATATTATATTTTACATGTATCTTATTTGATCAATTTTCTTTAATTTATTTTTTTTCAGATCAACAAGTGAAAAGATATCATATTATTTTGTACATGCAAAACCATCAGTTTTATTTGACAATACATCAATTCTTGGAATCTTTATCAAAGTTGTTGTTCATTTTTTATCATTATCAATTATTCAACATAAATGTACGATGTTTAATACCAATTTACCAATAGAACAATGTAGTAGTATGTCAAACTTGATTCACCTTTTAGCACCATATGTAAATACACTACGAAAATATTGTATTAAATGTAAGATATCAATTCCGTATGTTTCAATCGCTGATATTGCATACTTGCTCGTAAAAAATAAAAGCAATGAATGGACCATAGCGATTGATATAAATGTTTATTCAAAACACGAACAGTTTCGTTTATTCAATAGTGTAAAATATGGAAAAAATAATCCTCTTGTTTCATCAACTTTTGACAAGTACCAAACCCGAGCTCAACATCGAGTTTTGATACCGAGCTTTCTGGGTTTAAGCTCGATTTGAACTCGAATATAGATACTCGAACTCGATCGAGCTCAATCCCAAAAGCTCGAACTCGAAAGTTCCAGTATGAATCGAGTTAAAGTTTCATGGTACAAGTTCGGGTTGAGCTTATTGATACTTGGGGATGTGAGTGTGGGCGGACGCTTAAGCACTCAACCGAATATAATCAGGGTCCAGAATCCGAATCTGCGATCATTTTCTCAAATTTTCCAACGTGAATTTTTTTCATAACAGAAAGGATTATTGAAGAAAGTAATATTTTTCCATAAGGGTTAACCGAAAGTAATCGAGATTGAAGAATCCAAATCTGCAATTAGTTTTTCAAAATGTTGAACTTGACTCTGTTTACTGAAAACACGTTGTTAGCCTCTACACATGTAGTAAAACCCAGCTCAGTCTCCGTTTTGATACTAAGCTTTATAGAATTGAGTTCAGCTTGAACTCGATCATAAATCTTCGATCTCGATCGAGTTGAAGCTGAAAAGCTCAAGTTCGATGGAGGTTCGGATATGTGGACAAATTTTATATGTCTTGTAGCGTTGGACCTAAAAAAGAAGATAAAGAGAACATTAAAAACATTCGAGTCACACATTCTATAGAGCGTTATCGGTTACACATAAATCAAACGCTTTTCCGCCTAACAGTTCTTCCTTCTGAAAAAGAGAACGAGTCTTCCAAGAAGGATGTTTAATTTGTGTGACATTGTGGTAAAACAATATTTGTAAAAAATCGATGTTTTTCAACGTTTATTTGCAGAATAGCTGTTAAAATGGAATTTATCTATTGCTATCATATGTCAATCAAAAACTCTTGAGAAGAAGAATCTAATAGGTGTATGGAGATCTTTATCCACACATATGGATGTATGTTTCAAGGATATTCAAGTGACGAAGACATTCCAACCGTCATTCACCCCTTCTCTCTCGCAATTCTTGATAGTCCAAAGTACTAACAACTATCAATAATACACATGGAAACTCATCTTAAAGTGAGAGATATTGGTCAAACTCAAAGAATCTGATATTATCTTATGTTTTCTATATTCCTAGAAAACCTTTGCCATAGTCTGTCGGGACATTTTCATACGAACAAATCTATCGGAATATTTTTGGAATAAAGTAGTGTTTTCTCATGAACGATATAGTTTTAAGAGCTGAAATTTTAAACGCAGTCCCAAAGTAAAGCTTTTTAAAGATGGCAAAAAAATCGTGGATTCATCTGTTATAGTAATCGAGAAATGAAAGACACAACATAACAAATCTGTCGGAACATTTAGTGAAATCATAGCAACTTACTCTTATTTTTACTTTTTTTTTTAATTTAATGGTTCCTGAGAAAAATAGATTTTTACCGAAATATTTCTGACCCTTTTATCTACCAAATGTAAAAAGATAATCAGAGATTACTTCAAAATTGCCTTTAGTAGCTGAACTTCAATTTGTCGAAACATAAAATGGCCATTAATATGTTTAAGAAGTTTTTTCAATATTTGATAGGTATATGAAAATTACAGCCCAATTTAACTTACATAGTCACAAAAAGGAAAGTATAGGCTACAAGGTAGCTATACAAAATTAATTTTATCGAATGAAGGTTCTGGCAAAGAAAAGCGATTTTTTGTCGATAGAGGGATAAAACTCAGTGATTTTTCCTTTTTCGTTTGAAGATCCTAAAGCGATGCCAGTCCAAAGACCTAATCGCATGTTTAGTAGATAACCTCAACTATAAGAATTTTACAAAAAAGTTATCAAAATCCGATGAGTAAAAGCTGAGACATGAACGCAATTCTGTTGGCGACCCACAAATACAATACGAGCGCAATTCACTCATGCATGTCCGAATTCAAACAGAACGCAATTCTGTACAGCTTAGTATCAAAACTCGAAACTGAATTCTGGTTAGCTACATGTCGAGAAGCTAAAAAAGTCTTTTCAGTAAATAGGCACAAATCCCTACTTTCTTCAATGATCCTTTCTGTTATGAAAAAATTCAAGTTGGAAAATTTGAGAAAATGATCGCAGATTCGGATTCTGGACCCTGATTATCTTCGGTTGAGTGCTTAAGCGTCCCCCCATACTCACATCCCCAAGTATCAGTAAGCTCAACCCGAACTTGTACCATGAAACTTTAACTCGATTCATACTGGAACTTTCGAGTTCGAGCTTTTGGAGTTTGAGTCCGATCAAGCTCGAGCTTTTAGGATTGAGCTCGATCGAGTTCGAGTATCTATATTCGATTTTAAATCGAGTCGAGCCCAATATTTTCTAGCTCAAACGGTTTCGGTTTGGTACATGTCTAATCATAAGGAAATCAGTATTATACGAATTCAAAGCCCTAGCTTGTTTCTCTCCACGTTCAAAATCATAAAAACATAGATGGACATACATGCAGTAA